TTAGTGTGAAATCAGATCTGTTCTCACCTCTAGATTTGAGGAGTGGAAAATACGCATCTGGTTTTAAATGAAACAGAAGGTGGAGAGAGAGGTCCTTGGACTTTTTTTTTTCCATCTTGAAACTGGAAATATTTTAGATATGATTGGAGGGATTTCCATCAGTCACAATTTTTTAAAATTTCAAGCCAGAATATTACCTCTAACCAGCAGGAGCTTTCACCACCTTTGCTACTCATAAAATCCTATTGTTGACAATATTATCTTTCACCTAAGTACCAACTAGGTGAAAAGGGGTGTCTGAGAACTTGGGAGTTCAAATTCCTGCTAGAAGCACAATAGATAGAGTGTTGATCCTGGAGTCAGGAAGACCTGAATTCAAATCTGGCCTCAGACACTTCCTAGACATAGCAAGTCACTTAACCTCTGTTGTCCTCAGTTTCCTTAACTGTACAATGGGGATAATAATAATGCCTTCTTTGAAGGGCCATTTGTTTTGAAAAAAAAAGCCCCAATGCTTAGCACAGTGCCTAGCATAAAGTGGGTGCTTATTAAATGGATTATTATTAAATAAATATTTGTTGCCTTTGTCTGATCTTTGTGACTTTGGGCAAGTCATTTAATCTCTTTGGCCTCAGTTTCCTCATTTATAAAATGAGGTTAGAGGGGCAGTTAGGTGGTGCAGTGGATAGAGCACCAACCCTGAAGTCAGGAGGACCTGAGTTCAAATCTGGCTTCAGACCCAACACTTGACACTCACTAGCTGTGTGACCTTGGGCAAGTCACTTAACCCCAATTGCCTAAAAGCCAAACAATAAAAAATAAAAAAAATAATAAAATGAGGTTAGACCAACTGGTATTTGAAATTCCTCCTCGTTGGACATTTATAAGGACATTAGTTCATTTGAGGTAGTGGGATACAAACTCCTGGAAGGTAGGAGTTGTTTCATTTTTCCCTTGCATCTGACAGGAGCCTAGTACACAGTGACCACTTAATAAGTATCTGTTGAATGAATAGTCCTTGATGACAACAGGGGCTAAAGACTACAGAGAGCATGCCCATTTCATGGATGAGTAAACTGAGGCTCGGGAGAGGTTAAGCAACTTGCCCAAAATCACACAGCTGATCAGAGACAGAGTCATCTGGGTTCCAGGCCTTGCCTACCACCAGTAGCCAACACTGATCCTACACCCTTTGCTATACAAAGAGACTTTCAGTGCTTGACACTTGTGATCTTGAATAATTGAGCACAAATAAAGATCTGCCTCATTCTCTGGATCCTTTGGCAAGGGACCTGCTGGGCTTGGGTTTTTTGTTTTTTTGTTTTTTGAGCCTCAAGCCCTCAAGTCAGGCCCCAAAGTGCAGCTGGTCCCTGGTAAGGAGGGAACTATTCTCTAACCAAGAAATGGTTTCCAAAAACAAACTGGGCAGAAGGGGAATTACTCCCCTCAATGCACATTCACTTCTCCCTTCAGCTCTGAAATTGAAGAAAAGCAAATAGGGAAGTGGGGACTGACCCAGTGTGAACTCCCCAGAGACAGCAAGTGGGACTCACTGGCTGGGGAGCCCACTCTGTCTTTGCACGTGTGAGTGCTCAGCAAGGGGGGGGAAAGGGAACGGGACCACGCCTGTTGTGTGCTGTGGCCACTGAATCCTCAGCGCAGCACATATTTGTGACCCCATTTCACAGACCCAGAAACTGAGGACCCAGTAAAGAACAAAAAGACCTCTCTCCTGATGGGGATAGTGATCGGCCAGTAGCAGAGTCAGACTGTCATGGAGACTGCCCTTGCTCTTTGACCAGCTTTGCACAAAAGGTCTTTGGCCCAGTGTGAAGCTCGCAGTGTGAACTTTGTGCTATCTCCCATCTCTGCACCTTTGTAGGCAGCTGCAGCTCACGCCTGAAATGCCTTCCCTCCTGACCTCCATCTCTTAAAATCCGGAGTTTCTTGCAAAGCTCAGTTCAAATGCCTCTATGTGAGGCCTTTTCCAACACCCCCCCCCCCGAATAGTCCACCTCCATCCACTATTGGTGCTCTCCCCATTTTGATATTGCTTTATATTTATTTATCTGTGTACATGTTATACTTCCTCTCACCCCCCTGCCCCGTCATAGAATGTGGCCTCCTTACAGGCAATCAAACAATCAACATTTATTAAATGCCTGCTATGTGCCAGGCTCTGTGCTAAGTGCTGGGGATACATAAAAGAGGAAAAAGACAGTCCCTGCCCTCAAGGAACTTACAGTCTAAAGGTAGAAACTGTTTTGTTTTAGCAAAATGCCTTGCATATAGTAGGCACTTAAACATCTGTTAAATTGGATGAGGGAAATAGAGGGAGGGGGGAGACCGTGGGATCATAGGTTTAGAGCTAGAAGGGACCTTTGAGGTCAACTAACCCAACCCTCTTAATTTTACAGGAAGGGAAATTGAGGCCCAGAGAGGAAAAGGGACTTGCCCAAGGTCGCATAGGAAGTGGTCTAAGTAGGACTTGGATTCCAGGGCTTACAAGTTCAATCTAGCACTCTTTCTCTGCTATACTGCCAGGCAGATGCTGTACTTTTGTGGTGAATTACTGACTTTCACTCTCCATCATCATCTCTCCCTTCCAGAGCCCCAGCCACACACAGACACACATAGATACACACACACACACACACACACACACACACACACTCACACACACACACACACACACACACACACACACACACATACACACACACACACACACACACAATCTCATATTCTTCAACCAGTACTATCACTAGTAAGTAGAGACAAAGAAGAGCCTAAGGTCTAGTATCCACCCTAGTACGATGGTATAGTATGGTGTGGTGCAAAGAGGCCTGCCTATGATGCCAAAGGCTCTGGGCTTGGAATCCCAACTAAGCCACCTCCAAAATGGAGCGAATGGGCAGGTAGAGTGTCTGGTGTCTGGCCCTGGCACAGTCAGAGCATTGGTGAATTAGGCTCCAAGTTCCAGGTCCAAGAGCAGAGTGTGGTAGGGATCAAATCCCAGAGGTGCCATTCCTGGCTCATTCAGTGGGTGCAAAGAGCTTTTGTAAACCACGAGGCAGCATGTTTTACAAACATGGCCTGGCACAAAGTAGGCCCAAGCTATTATTAATATTATTATTTGGACCAGATCTCTGATTTTATTGCCATAGGGAACTCCCAGAGGAGGAAAACCTCTCTGTCAGTGCAAATCAGCACCTCCCCTACAATAAATTGATGGGGTTGGAATCTGGAAGACTTGAGTTCAAGTACTGTCTCAGATACTTGTTAAATCACTTAACCCCTGCCTGCCTCACTGTGCTCATCTGTAAAATGGGGATAATAACAGCACCTTCCCCTCCCATTGTTGTGAGGATCAGATGATAAAACATGTAAAGAGTTAAGGTTGCTCTCTATCCGCTAAGCACCTCTACCTGATAATCATTATCATCAGCATTATCACTATTGAGACACTCAACCCATCTGCTTTGATATCTGAAAACTGGGGACCAATCCTTCTTTCTACTACTTTAGCAGAAGACAGGGCAGCTTGGCTTCCCTGAAGGTGTCACCATGGGCCCAGGGAATTACATTAAACAACCCTACATGAGAAAACTGGACTGAGCTCTTTGCAAGGAGGAATAATTTAGCGCTCCTTCTATTCCCAGAGGCTATGGAGGGGCCTGGCACAAGGTAGGCCCTTCCCCACCTTCCCCTTCAGAGATTGTCATTCCTTGATCTCAAAGCAAAGTTCCTTTCTGGCAGGCAGGGTCCACAAGTCTCCTAGCTATGTTCCTTGGAGACTGGAGCATTGATTTGGAGCCTGAGCCAGAAGGGACATCAATCAGTCAGCATTATCAATAGGCATTCACTAAATGCCTATGTAGGGAGCCCTTTATGAGTTGCTTTGTCCAAGCCTATTTGACAGATGAGGAAACTGAGGCCCAGCAAAATGAAGCCATTTATCCAAGTGACAGAACTGGAATTTGAACTTTAGGACCCTTTTTTGAACATCAGGCCCGCTGTCCACTAAGTCTCTTTATACTCCCCTGTTCCCCAAGTGGAGTTTTCCCTGTTCCCTCCCTGCTTCTCTGGGTTTCAAAGCGGGTAGTGAAGGTGATGGGGGAGGCAGGGAATGGCAGGAGAGGGAGAGACCCTAAATAAAAACAGGAAACTGGGTTTTAGAGAAAAAAAATAGATGTTTCATTCAGCCCGAGTTACGGGTAAGAGTATAAAAAAAAACCCCTCGAGTCAGGAAATGCGAGGTTGATCAGAGGTTTCGCCGTAACCTCGTCGCTCACAGAACCTCAGCAGGAGAGCTGTAAACATGTGGTGAACTCCCCCTGCATGCAATGAATGAGACGCGAGCCCGGCCCGCTGGCCCCGTTCCATTTTTCTGCCTTGATTCACGGCTATAGGGTGGGGGTGGGGACGGCACTCGGGGGGAGGGGACAAAGGCTAAGGGACAGGGGACAAGGACTCGGAGGGAGGGGCAGAGGGCAGTAGCCAGAGGGGCAAGACCCTTTCTTCTTCGTGAACCCCGACTGGCGCCCAAGCTCCAGAGGATGCTCCTAGCTTAGACCAACACGATTAGCCCTCTCTCCCCGCGAAGGTGATTCCCAGCCACCCCGCCCAGGGTCGGTCATTTGCCAACCAGCCTGGAAAATGTTCCTCTGCTAAGGGTTAATTCTAGCCCGTCCGTTTTCCCCCACGGTATATTCCCCGCAATTAACCCTGGCCCCAGACCGGCTCTGCATTCGCCCTTTCCATCCATCCGCAGTGGAGATGCAAGGGCGGAGAGGGGACAGCTTTGCAGACAGCCCAACAGCTGCACTGCGATGCATCCCTGGGGCCCGCCCGGCCTCCTGTCCTCCCTTGACCTCGCGTTGCGCCCCCTCCCCCGGCCATTTCCCCCTCCCCTTGAAGCATCCCATCCCAGACCTTAAGCCCAGCTCCATTTCCTCCTCCTCCCATCACCCAAAGAGAAAAAAGAGGCGGTAGCTTACAGGCCTGGAGAAGCAGACAGAGATGCAGGCAGGCCGGCAGGCAGGCGACAACAGCCCGGCGAGAGGCAGCCAGCCAGCAAGAAGGGTGTCGAGTGTGAGTGAGAGGCGTATGCAACCGGCCTGCTCACACCCGGCACCCTCAACTTCCTATTTTGTTTCCTTTCTGCTTGCAACAGGAAAAACAACAACTTCTACTGTCCTCCTCTCCCTGACACCCCCCTTGAGCTCCAGCCTCTGTCTGGAACTGAAGGTGGCACTACCCTAGGTTGGGCTCTCACTTAACCAACAGCAGAAGGCAAAAGAACCCCAGAAAATTCCTAAGCCTAGCAGGGTTTCACACTCCCATGGAGGAAATTATAGATGCTGGAAAGGCTATAGAGTGCACCCCTTCCTTTTACAGATGAGGAAACTGAGGCTGGGGGGTGATTGACTTATGAAAGGTGTCACCATATTCTTCATAAGTGTCAGAGAGAGGATTTGAACCCATGTCCCTTGTTTTTTCCACAGTAGCACCCCTCCTCTATTGATTAAAACCGGTTAGTTGAGGACTGGATAAGACCTCTGGCTTATTCCAGTACACAATCTCCATCCCTCCATCTCCAAGCAGCGGATTATTCAGGATTATTCAGTCCAGTGTTTGAAAGCTTCTCTGTTTGAAAGAACTGTTTTATTTGGATGTCTTAGGCACTTTCTTACTCAGAGACTTGTAAGCTGAGGAAGAAACTCAGAGGGGCAACACAGAGAGTATGAAATAGTAACGTCAACAATAACAGACATTGAGTCTTTTAAGGTTTGAAAGGCCTCACAGGCACATCTCATTTGAGGCAGATCAAACATTGGTGAGATTAGAAACGGTCACCAATCTTCACTAAATTCAAGGTGTCAGAGCAAATTATTGGAAAGATCACTGGCTCTAGAGTCAGAGACCGCTACTGTTTAGTCCTGTCTGACTCTTCATGGCCCCCTTTGGGGTTTTCTTGGCAGAGACACTAGAGTGGTTTGCCATTTCCTTCTCCAGTTTATTTGCAGATGATGAACTGAGGCAAACAGGGTTAAATGACTTTCCCAGGCTACTTAGCATCTGAGGCTGGATTTGAAGTTAGGTCTTTCTGAATCCAGGCCCTGTGCTCTATCCACTGTGAAAACTAGCTACCCAACAGTCAGAGGACCTGGGTTCAAATTCCACCCCTGTGATTCTGTGACTAGTAGACAAGTAATTTACCCTATCTCAACCTCAGTTTCCTTATCTGTATAAAGAGGGGGTTGGACTAGGTGACATCTAATGTCTCTTCCAGCTCTGAGCTTTGGGAGTGATGCTCAGGGATAGAATGGTAAGGGAAGAAGAGAACATTGGGAGGGTTAGATGGACCGATGGCATGATCAGTATTGTGATGATAATGAGCGTTGAGGTTTATAAAAGAGCACCTTGTCTGCAGCACAGCACAGTGCATAGAGCCAACCTCAGAGCCAAGAAAACTTGAGTTCAGATCTTATGGCAGCCACACACTGCTGGTGGTGTAACCATCGTGAAACCTCTCATCGTTCTAGGCCAGAGGTGTCAAGCATACCAAGAGCCATGTGTGGCCCACAGCACTCCTGAGGGTGGCCTAAGTCAGATTAAAATGAAGTTGAGAAATACTTAACAAAATAATCAAAGATACAACAAAACATAGATAATATTAACCTGGGGTTTTCCAAGTCAGTGTGGCGCCCCCAGGGATCTTATGTATGGTTTAATGGTGCCCATTTCAAAAAAAATTGATATCACTGCTCTAAACAGCTTCCTTGGACTGAAAGTAGCCAAGAAGATGCTTTCAGGGTTGATGGAGCGAGTTAGCTCACGGGCTGTTGCTGTAATAATGAATCACAGAATAGTTCCCGTGCCCATGTTCCACAAAATGCGTTATATCTCTTCTTCTTTAGCCCTCACACCAACCCTGTGAGGTCCATGATCTCAATGTTATAGCTGAAAAAGCAGCTACCTTTGGTGTATTGCCTTCCTCCATTAGATTGTACACTCTTTGAGGACAAGGACTATCTTTCTTTTTCTTATTTGTCTCCCCAGAGCTTTAGCATGGTGCCTGGTACATAACAGGCGCTTAATAAATGTTTATTGAACTGAATAATTGAATTAAAATTAAGTGCTTCGCCAATGGGCACACAGGCTGAAGTAGATGTCAAAGCCAGGCTCAAGGACCAGCATTTTTTACATAGTTTCACTTTGAGTTTTGTGAGTTTCGTACCCTTATTGCTGGGTGCAATGTGTGTTGACTGATCTATTGAACATTGAACTTACTCTCGTGGGAGGCACCACAAGAGGCACTGAGGATACAATGATAAAAAATGAGGACGGATACCCTCAAAGAGCTTACATTCTCCTGGGAGATACAATGTCTAAGTGGAGATGTACCTGTAATGTAATGTGAGACCATTCACAACTGGGGGATAGGGTAAGGTCTCATGCAGGAGGCAGGGTTTTGAGCTTCACTCTAAAAGAAGTTAGGGATTCTAGGAGATATTGGTGAGAATGGAGGGCATTCCAGCTACGGAGAACAGCCAGTACAAAGGTGTGAAAGCTAGAGATAGAAAGATAAAGGTGACATTCAGGGGGTAGCTGTTATGGGATGGACACCCCATGGCATCAGGGGAAAGAAGATGCTTTCCAGGAGTCACTTTATTGATAGGTACTGTCTCTAGTAGACCTAGCAAACCCCATGAGGGGTGGGAGTGGGGGAGTAGAGGTCAGGAGGGCTGTGGCTTTGAATTCTGCCTCAGACTGTGTGGCTATAGGTAGACTTCCAGGCCAGAAAAGGGAGTAAGACTTAAGTGTTCTAAAGAAAATGATTGAGTGATTATATCTTTACCATAGAATTTGGTCACAAACAACTTTTATTCTGAAGAACTAGGGTGCAATGGAATCTGAGTTTACCTTAGCCCTGCCCCATGTGACTTTGGGCAAACCATCTCACACCTCTGGGCCTCAGTTTCCCCATCTGTAAAAGAAGGGGTTGGATTAAACAGTCTCTGAGGTCCCTTCTGGCCCTAGAGCTATGACCCTGAGGTACATTTACTCCCTGTGTGACCCTGGGTAAAATCACTTCTCTCTGGGCCTCAGTTTCCTCATCTGTAAAAATGCGTTTGGGCTAGATGAATTTTAAGTCCCTTTCAATTCTGAAACTATAAGACAATTACCCTGAAGGCAGCCTAGATGGAAAGGTATTTAATTTCCCATTTTAGAGAAGGAAGAACAGAAGCCATGTTTTTATGGTAGAGGGAGAATTATCAGAACCTCATCCCTACCCAAAATGGAAAGCCGCTAGGTTCTAGCTGTTACAGGCCTCTGGACCTGAGCCCTTTTGGTCCTGTCTAATCTCCACCTTTCTTCAAGACCGATACTTGAGCAGCATTCTCAAAGAGTTTCTTTCTTCCTCCTAAGCTGACCTCACCTGCACAGCCTGGGTTCCCTCTCAATAGCAAGAGGAACCAAGGTCTTTGCTCAGCTGCAAGATTTTGCAAGAGCGGAATTTACTCCCTCCCCCTAGGACAAGTACAAGGGCCCTATTCACAACCCGCAGCCTCTCAGGCTGCCCTTTCCTGGATGCTCCCATGCTCTAAATGGCTAGGCTTGTAGCTAGATGACAGGTTCAAAACCCATCTCTGATCCTTACTACTAATTAAACACCCCTGTGCCTCAGTTTCCTTCTCCATAAAAAGAGATTGGAGTTGGACTAGATGACCTGTAAGGTCCCTTTTGGAAGCAGCTAAGTGGCTCAGTGGAGAGAGCATTGGGCCTGGACTCAGAAAGACCTGAGTTCAAACCCAGCCTCAGACGCTTCCTAGCTGTGTGATCCTGGGCAAGTCACTCAATCCCATTTACCTCAGTTTCTTCATCTGTAAAATGAGCCAGAGACTCTAGTATCTCTGCCAAGAAAACCTGAAATGGGATCATGAACTGGATACAACTGAACAACAAGGTCCCTTTTAGCACTGAACCTAGGATCCTAGAAATTTTGCTCCCCCCCCCGAAATTTCCTGATTCCTATTTCTAAAGACTATCTCCTCTTTTCCTTTGTTCTCTCAGCAGGTTGATTTATGACCATTATAGCATCCTTGATCTAGAGATGCCAGGACCCTTAGAGGGTCCAGCTTTCCCATTTTGCAGATGAGGAAACTGAAGCCCAGAGAGGTCAAGTGATTTGCCCATGACTAAACAGAGCGTAAGTGGCAGAACTGGGATTTGAATCCAGGTCCTGAGGCACCAATCAGATGCTTTTCTTCTGTTTTGCCATGATTTTTGAATAAGGCTCTCAAATTTGGGGGGTTCCTCTTTACCACCTGAGTGGCCCTAATCTAGGAGGTGCCATTGTTCCCAACATTTCTTCCTCTACCCCTCCCCCCTTACCAAGTCAGCCCCTAGGGATTCCTAGAGTGGTAGAATATTAGTACTGGAAAAAAAGTCTTCCAAGGCCACTGGGTCTCAGACTCACTGAACTTTAGGAGACTAGCTAGTCAATGCCTACCTGACTAACTGCCCTCTGCAATTCAATTCAACAAACATGTATTATGGGCCTACTAAGTGCCAAACTGGGAGACTGTAGAGCCAGCCCTGGATCCAGGAAGACTTGGGTTCAAATCTGATACAGTCTGATGAGTCACCCAGAACAAGCCATTTCACTTCCCAATGTTACAAGTAACTGTCCAAGATTCTAAGGTGCAAGGCAGAGGAAAAAATGGTGACTCAGGAGTCAGAGGATCTGAGTGTGAATCCTGCCTCTGACACTCATCTGTGTGACCTTGAAAAATCACTTAACTTCTCACTGTTTGAAGTCAGCATGTCCCTGACTGCCAAGTCTTCCCTCCTTCCCAATTATTGTTGAGGGAACCACTATCCTCCCAGCCACCAGGCTTGGGAGTCACCCTCCATTCCTCTTTGAAGCTCACTGTACATATCCACCTCTGATACTTTGATTTGGTTTTTGCACTGGCTGCATCCCCTGCCTGGGATGCTGTCCCTTCTTGGCTTCCCTGAATTCCTTCAAGATTTAGCTCAGATCCCACCCCCTCCAGGAGGCTTTAACCCTATTCCTCCCAGGGGAGCCAAGATGGTGGAGTAAAAGCAG